TCCAATGTTCACTCTAGATCACAAATCAATGAAAATATGAACCTTCAGTAAAGCATCAGTATTTTTGAGTAACCACCCAACTAGCGCATGTCCAGCTTCGTGGTATGCCACAATCTCACGTTCTTCCTCAACTAAACTTCGAGATCGCTTCTCAGCACCTAAAGTCCACAATATAATTTGGAAAAGCGGACAATATTATTATGAAATGTGCATTTTTGACTATACGTTTTTTCGGGTATAAACTTCGCATTCAACCCCATGCCCACTGCATATACTCGCCACGTTGATTCTTCTGCGCTCTGCTCAAACTCTTCGAGAGAAATTATCCAAAAATTTCATATTAGATCAAAATCCAGCACACCTAATATCAACCAAGATACCCGTCCATTACCACATGGATCTAGCCAACTCATCAACAATGGCATTCAGCCTTAATTAAGATTCGCATTCACATTCCGTCCATCAGAAAAAGCGACCTTAAGTTCTCTGGTGACCTTTTGAGGAATTCACACTTGTTCATAGAAGAACAACCAAATACGAGGCTTTCACATCGATCGCCTAATCACGTGCAGCCTCATACACAGACGACTTTATAAGAGTGCGGCAAAATAACCGATTAGGGATGGAAGCTATACTGTGTATAAAAGATGTTATTATATGTATGCGAATATGGTTGGTTACTCGACGCTCTTCTACATTTGAACAACCCTGCTTTTAAATGACATAAATAACAAAAAATCATAAGAGTTAAATTAAGCGAGCATGCTGACATGCAACGTCACTTCCTCGAGAAATAAACTGGGCAAAAGCTCACTATGCATTCGTTCCGCCATATTAGCAACTATTACTGAATGCATAGCAACGAAAGTAAGGAGGCTATCTACCCATGTGGGTGAATGCACTTTACTTGTGGAAAAAGATGTGGGTGAATGCACTTTACTCGTGGAAAAAGAGGTTTTAACTCTAACGAACGTATTCTTCAGATATAAATGAACAAACAGATAGACAAACCAGCCAAAACTCTATCCATTGCATACTCAAGCTCGCTCACTGATACCACGTGTTTTCCTGTGGAAGCAGCTCGTATGGCAGCTTCGTTAACAACATTGGCAATGTCAGCGCCTTAAACAAACGATATCAATGTGAAAACGGAGCGAACTCTATGCTTTCGCACCGCTAAATCCTGGTGTCATTTGAGCCAAGCGGTGAGAAAATTTGTTATACGGGTGGTCTAATTTTATCCTTTTGAGATACAAGTCGAACATTTCCTTTCGCTCGATAACCGTTGGTAAATCCATATTTATGTGACGATCAAATCGTCCAGGCCTTAATAAAGCCTGAAAACAAGTAAAATGAACAATCACATACAATAACTGAGGCGGATAAAAAATAATGCTGCAAGACTAACTTTGTCCAAGATGTCTGGTCGATTTGTGCTTGCAAGAACAACGATACCTTGACCACTCCCCATCCCATCCATTTCAACCAAAAGCTGATTTAATGTCTG